CTACCTCTGGGGATTTTTTCTCAGTCCATTGAATGACCAGAACTCTCCCTTAAATATCAGATCAGATGGAAGCTCTGTCTGGTTTGCTTCCCTGTTGCTTGATAATAAAGCTCAATCAGGAGGGGTGAAAAAACTGTGGCCTGTCTTCCTGCTCGCCAGGACTTACTGCACATGGTAGGAGGAAATTAGTCTTTTCAGAAGACTTCAGCTGTAGGAATACCTTTTCCCTGAATCTTAAACAGACTTAGGCAGGTACAGTTGCCTTAGGAAAGACTATGCTTTATGTTCTTGCTCAAAGAAATAACAGTAAAAGAAGCACCTTGAGTATATTTTGTTTTTACTGTCATGAATGTTGTCAGACATTTAATCACCAGCTCTTTTTTATCTTACTTTACAGGAAGAACTAATTTCTGTGTGTTTTCCCAATTAGAAGCTGGTTATTTTGTTTTGTTTTTTTTTTTTGCTTTGCTGGGGATTTTGAGATGAACATTGACATAAAGGTTAAAATAACTTCAAAAAGCCTTCATTTTAATATTAGTTCTATGCAGCTACCTCCATCTGTATTACTGTTCTGCATGATGTGCCTAACCAAAGAACAAGATTTGCCATGCTCTTTGATGTTTTAAAAACATACTGAAATCTGAAATCAAGTGCTTTGCCTAAGTCTTGATTTTCCTGGCAACACTGAGCTGAATAATGTACTAACTTGTAGAGTCCTCTTAATGTCAACTAAAAAAAAGAAATTATGTATCTTCAGAATCATTCCAGCTATGTCTGGCAAATGATTAAATGCTCTGAAGTCTGATGTGAATAAAAAGGATCAACAATCAAGAAAGTAAAAAAGGAGAATAAATGGAAAAAGAAATTCTAGCTAAAACAACTCTATATGATTAAAAAGCTGTAGAAAGCGCCAAATGTCGTGCTAAGAAAGGAAAGTAATCTCTATTTAAAGTTATTCAGAAAGCAGAGCTAAAACATTTTGCTGATAGCTGTAGTACAGAGCTCCTTACATATCTTGCCAAAAATGCAAAAATAGATCTACAAAAAAACACATATATCCTTTCATTTATTTCTTTTGCATTAACAATCTAGGTTAGAGTGTTTTTTACATAGCAATACTAGGGACAATTAAGTCTGTTTAACACAGAGACAGATGCCAGATGTATGCATGTAACAGTTAGAGAGGAAGCATATGCATAGTATCAACTCTACAAATAGTTGGGCTCCCTAGGCACTCAACAGTTTTGAAGCTAAGGGAGGGAATGTTTTTATGTTATAACATTTTCCCTTGGTGGTAGCAAATTAGCTGCCTTGTATCCATCTTTAGCTGGAAATGCAGAGAGTCACTTGAGAGTTTACAAATAAGTTTAGAGCTCTGCTAGACCGTTTCTTAGATACCTGAGAAATGGGATACATACCATGTGTGTGCTCTAACAGATGGACTTAAAAAGAAAAAAAAGGTTTGATTCTTTTTTTCCCCATAAGACAATTTTTTCTTACCTTAATTCCTCACAGAATTTGTTCAAAGCCAGACTGAGCCTTGGTTTTGGGTATGGTGCTTCACACACAACTTTTGCCTCCTTCGGAATTAATCAACCCTTTTTCCTAAAGAAAAACAAATCAAAGCTACATTTTTATTAGGAAACCCAGAAGCTGTTTTACAAAAACCATGCAGTAGATACTGGGGGGTCAGTTTTCTCTGCTTCTCATTATCTGTGATACTAAGAATTCAGGCCAGTAATAACTGTACAAGTCTCTTGCCTTTTCTTCCAATAGAACAAAAAGGCTGGGACGAGAGGGATATATTAAAATCAAGTCATGAAATTCTAAAACAAGTAAATACAGTAATAAGTTCCAGTAATTAAAAGGTCTCTAAATACGCCAAGAAAACTGAGCATGATCCATGTCTAGAATAAGTTTTACTGCATTTTACAGCATGTTTGCCCCATTTCTACGGTTGTAGTACTTTACAGATTAAAGATTATCTTAAATGAAGGCAATAGATTGACACCGATTGATGTATTTCTGAATCCTTCAGCAGATTTAAAGACAGCAGCTGCATCTTTTACTTGCTTTACCTGAACAGTCTTTAGTTTATCTAATGTTTGGATAAGTAAACTGAAGGCACAGCTAATAGAAATTACCCTGACTGCATCTTACTTGGTCGTGAAATTTATAATTAGTCTTCAAGTCTGTCTTCAGGACTTGAATAGGTTTTTTATAAGAACATGGCCTAGATGAGGGGTTGCTCGATACCTGAAAACAGCTTCTAAGATAGCAGGCTTAAAAAATGAAGATACTAGTGAAAACAATGAACACATAATGAGATCTTTGGAAATAGTTCCCAAATTATTCAAGATATATTTTGTCACATCATCATACTCTGACATCAATACAAAAGTTGAAGCTGTAACAAATGCAAAGATGACAAGTAAAAAGGTGACTCTCAGTTGAGCAGCTCAACTGCTACAAATAAAAGTAACTATCAGGAGAGATTTTCTGTATTAATACTGTTAATATCTATAACCTCCTTCATCCTTGAAATGTAAGAAAGTTATTTGGAGCTTAAGGTTGTTGATGAAGGATCTGGGGAAAGGAAGATGTGAATACTCCAAGTCGTCTTCAATGTCTTTCAGAAATCCACTTACAGTTCATGAAGAACCTGAAAATATGGGACTGAATCTGTTTACATGTGCAACTCCTTTTGCAAAATTAGTAATATTTAGAGAGATTCGAAAAAGGCATCCTTAATTATTCTTTCTGATTGATCTAATTGGAGCACTATCTAGGCAAAAAGCTAAGTAGAATAGCATTATGAAGCTCAAATTCCTAATGGAATGTGGGTTGTTTGAAAAGTCGCATAATGGTAATCCCATTCTGCAAATCTTTTTTGAAGGTAGTAATAAAACACAACATCAGCAATCTGCTAAACAATGGTCTAGGGCACAATCTAATCAGACAATAATAAATATGTTACTTAGCATAGAGGAGAATCTACGAAGCTCTGAGATAACTTCTTTTTTCCTAGGATAAGTAACTTGCTTTTTTTCTGTATCTCTATGTACAAGTGAGAGTTCCTTAAGAACCAATGTGTTCCTTCAGGCATTCAAAATGAAGCACTTTTTGACACGAATTTTAATTCTGTAAAAAAGTAGTAGCTTGGTATAAACAGGGTAGTACAATATTAAGGGATAACTAAAATGGATTTCTTTTGCAAGAAAATAGCTCAGTGAAAAAATACCAGGAATCTGGTATATTTGCCTGGAGAATTTCAGGGGTTTTCTGAGAGCAGCATCACAAAAGTGTTCTTCCTCATATTGTATGCATTGTACCTCCCATGAAGTCCAAAGTGTATGACCCATATAGGACATCAACCTTTTGAAACAGAGAATGATACCCAGTGGGCTTTTCCATCTATCTGTGTAAAACAGACATTGTCTCATTTTGTCTGGTAAAGGAGATTTTGAATGTAAATCCAGGCATACTGGCAAGAATGTGGAGAAAACTACTCTCTTTCACCAAAGTAGTCAGATTTTGAATGGTCCAGCATCCATACAGCCTTTAATCATTTTTTTGTGAGACTTTGTAAAGAAAAACAGATAGCATTTAAAAAGCTTCACTGCATTAATTCTGTTTTGGACAAAATCATGTTCCTACACAAAACCTGACAGACTTCCGTTGAAGACAGTTCACCTACAGTCATGATGCAAACAGAGCCATCAAAAGGATGTAGAAATGGATTTCTTCAGAAGCCTGTCATGTCTCTCTCCTCAGTGGCACCCTCATCAGTCAATATCTGTAAACAAGTTGTCATATCCAAATCTGAGACAAGCTTACAAAGCAAAAAGCTTGGTGCCTTCTAATTAAAGATTTGTCTACTGAGATAATTGGCAACTGGTGAGGAAGGCTTAGTGGTGTAATATATAGCTAATCAGTGGTGGCTTGATGGTATGACAGATGGGGATAGCTTCTTAAATTATGGTATCTTCAGGAAATGTCAACAGCATGATTATAGATTTATTAATGTTGTCTTTCCTACCCATTCACTGCTTTCGCTAGTCGTCATCACTTTTACCTCTTGTCTGTAACTGTAGAATATATTGTTATTTGTATAGGATGCCTCACAGTGGGCCTGGTTAATAGCTAGATTCCTAAACATTGGCACAATACAATACACACGATTAGTATTTACCAAATATTTCAGTTTAGGTATGGAAATTATTGACATTATAATTATAACTATCTCACAATAAAGTTAGCAAAAATAATGTGCAAATGATTACACAAATTAAGTTAGATTTCAGATTTAAGAATCATTGCAACTTTAGGTGCCAATGCTGGAAAAATTCTTCTGTTAAATCTGTGGAACTGTCTTGATCAAGAGTAGGAAAATATGTTATATTAAAAATGTTCTTTCTAACATATCCACAAGCCTGTTCTCTCCTGTTAATTACTGCAGTTTTGTTTCTCTTCCAGGAAACAGCTTTTGGGATCTACAACGAACATTTACTGTTTAAAACTATGAATTTGTCACATTACTAAATTTTCCCTGTAGCTTCCCAGCTAAGTGCAGGAGTGACATAGCTAGCCCTTGTACATTTCCTCTCTGCAACCTCAGGCTAGGAAGATGTTTTCATGGTGGGATGCAGGAGAGCCCAAAATATCTTTTCATGACAGTCATATAGTCTTTTTACTGAAAATTAGAGTAGGTGATGGTCTGACTTACAAGCAAATATTGGGAACCAAAACTGGGTGTGCATTCTCAGCCTCTCCTCTTTCTCCTCTGATAGGAAGAAATGAGATGCCCTTTTTGCTAGTCAGACATCTTCAGTTCACTGCCAACTATAAAATTCTGTGTTTGTACCTTTGAGAAGCAGAGTGAAAATTTTTAAGGGCTGTGAGTTGTGCCTGGGCCACAGATAGAAACCTTTTTTTCTGCTATGGAAGTTTTGAAATTGTGAATTTTGGAAGCAGAGCCTATTCCTGTCTGTGACTCACAGGTCTGATTTGCCTCCAGAACAGCAAGGCAGAGGCCAAAGACCCATTGTTGGGATCTGTGGACCAGCCCGCTGTGAGGATGGAAAATTTTCAGGTAAAATAAGTGTTTTCTTGCTCTTATGCTGTGTTTAAATTAAAAAAAAAATATGTGATTGCCATTAAATGTCAAATATTAATTTAAAACATACTTCTGTAAGTAAAATATTAAATGTTGTGTAGTGCTCCATGTAATCCTGAAATATTTGTCCAATATTCATAACTTGGGACAAATGTGAACTAGAATTAAATCCATAGGCCCACCACCTTTTCTGAAATGTTTTATGCCTTATCAATATGAAAATATATTCTCTTTATCCTGTAAACAAGTAAACAAGCAAAAAAACAACCAACAATGGGGAAACTATGTAAGGACTATAGATCTCAGAAGCTTGTAGCTATAATATCAGGAAAAGACCAGAAGATCCAAGAGGTTTAAAAAAGTGGCAATCCATTCTCGCGTTACTGCCAGTCATTTTGCTAATCTGAAGTACATAATTGCTTTGCCTAACTGAAAGGAGCCTTTAAACAGACAAGCCAGTATAAATACTCAGATTGGAGACAGCTCTGTTTAATAACAGCAAGCATGTGTATAGAAGTATTTGTTTACCTCTGCTCATTTATGTCAAAATCAATTGTAATTAAACAGGAATCCAACCACAGCAGTAGTACTTTAGCTGATTGTTCGCATCAGAAGTGTCATATAGCCCCAGTGTTTAGGACATTGCAAAGCAGCCCATTATTTTTCTCCTGTAATAAATACCTACTCATAGTCTTTTCAGTTCTTTAGCAGAGACAATTGCCTGTCTCAAGTGAAAAAGTAAGACACCATTTCATATTAATTCTAGGTGGTTTTCGGTCTATCACAGGAATTACCGAAGTTCTGAAAGGCAGATTTATATTCTCTATTAGACATTAGATGCCATTTATTTTCCATTTGTTTACACATACGTACAGAAAATACAGATCTTTTGTGTCTATTCAAGGAACTAAAGTACATAAAGCATGCTTTATTTTATTAGCTTAAAGCAAGTACTGATTATATTTATTTTTTTTTTTCTAAATAGTGTGTTTGTGGTTGGACTAGAGAAATATAAGCTACAGAGGATTTTACACCTTGTTTCATTATTGAGTATATCCTAAATGGAAATATTTTTAATAATGAACACAAATGCACAACATCAAGGTTAAAATGAATAAATCTCATAGGGAAGTCAGTGTGAACTCCATGCTTGCATTTAAAGACAAATCTTTCTCTTTGTAATGTGAAACAAGGGTCAGAAAATGTGCATTACTGTTCACTCTTTAATGCAATGAATAACGGAGCATTTCAAGAGTGACGGTAGATTGTATCAGCAGTGGGAAATAGCATGCTCCAAAAAACAGAACACATACATTTTGGAATGGTCCTCCAGTGCATTTTTATTTTGTAGCTGTTGATAGCCATTCCAGTTAAATGGGTCAGCCAATGAGCCACTCCTGACAATTTATGTTTATTTTTTAGCTTCCATATTTATAGAAAAGAAGGGGGAAAAGGTCAGTTAGAAGGAGGTATTTATGTGATAGTAAAACCTATGCACTGAAAGAGGAAAAAAAAAGAGATAAATAAGCAAGATATCTGAAAGACAGGCTAGCATTTCCTAGAACAACAAAAAAATAACAAAAGCTACTGACAGTTTAAAATAGTCAAAGTTATTCATATACTTATTTAGACATACTTTTATCTAGCCTTCATCGGTGGACATATGGTAATACAAAGCTACATTTTTTAATATTTTGTGAGTACAAAGTTTGTGGAAAAGAATGCACTTGAATGGCCATTTGCCAGGTGAAATCTTACAAATTATAATAATTTGAACTCTGTCTGCCTTCAAATACAATTTGATAACATCATTTACAGGTTTGAGGAGGAATATGATTGTGAACGTCTAAGTCTAAGTCTATGTAAAAGTATTTGTTCAGTCTTGTGTATAGGGGAAATCAGACATTAAATATATGTAAATGCACATATTTGCTTTTTTATATATGTATATGGATGTAAATACATGTATATACATAATATATTTAAAATCTGAACATTTACTATTAGATTATATGGAATACTTTGATACAGAGTATAACGTTCTTCATCTTATAAACACAGTACGTCAAATATTTAATGAAAATGTTTGTATGCTGATGTTTTCTGTACATGGAATGTTCACTTCTCGTTTGCTTATCTGCTTTGTGTGTGTATATGTAATTTAGATAATTAGAGTTCAGTTAAATTAAAAAAAATGTGTTTATTAATTCAGTTTTGCTACTTTGAGTCACTGTTAAGAAAAAAAAATCTTGAGTTTCTCCTTTGTTATCATTATGCAAATTTCATATAATTAGTGAGTCGAACTAAGATAACTCAGTTTTAGCCACTGAAAGGAGCCAGCTATCTAAAGCATTAATTAATTAACTTTATAGTACAATAAATTTAGAGTGAAATCAGTACCCATAATTAATTTTGTTCACAATATTTATGAATTAACAATAGCACAATAGAAGTATATTTTGCTTTAAGCTTGCTACAGAAGGCAGAAGTTAAGTATAGCTCCTCTGGTAATATAAAATAAATATGTAAGAAACGTCTTATAACACACCAAAATGCATACCTTGCACTGCATTTTATATGTTGCCAATGTAACTGTCATCCTACACCATCTTAAATTTCTATTCAGTATACATTTCCTATCTAGGCGACTGTTTCCAGATAGCTTGTTTCCTTTTTTTTCTACAGCTGATAATTTAACGATTTTATTTTAGTGTATGTTCTCCCGTAAGTGCATAAAGCACTTTGGACTGTTTAGCCTTAAAGCTCCAGAGAGTTAGGAAAACCTCTAGGCTGCTTCTGTTTATTGTACACACTTGCACAGTTGAAGGTTTATTTTCAACAGGAGGGAGTCAAGTATAGAGATAAAGACCAATGGTGCGTATCACTGTACCAGCACATCTTGCTGTACAACACAGTGCATGACCTATTTTACATATATATGTATTTATATTTATATATTTCCCTTTAAATTGATTCTATTTTCTCATGTATACTAATTTGGCCCTTCGTGGTGATAGTTCACTTCATGTTTATAGTTTCTGCTGCTAGTACAAAAGTGCCCGTTCGATTTTCTTCACTGTCTGCTAGCTGCAGCAATCAAAATTACAGGCTAATAGTGAGACGGGCAGCTTATAATGTATGATAATCAATACTCAAAATCCGTTTCCTATGATGTGACATAAAAGAGTGAAGAAACACAGATTTTCAAGATTGAAGCACCAAAGCTCATGCAATGCAGGTGGTTTTTCACTTCATATTTAATTCAGTCACTGCCCAGGATGCCCAGGGAGCAGAAATGGAAAGTTAGTCAATAATGTGAGTATGAATGCAAGTATAAAAACTACTTCAGCAAATACAGGAAATAAAAAGGGGAAGGAAGATGTGGCAAGCAATATATATAACTCATATATATACTATATGATGTATATCTCTTTTCCTTAGAGATTGCCAGCAAACTTTCTATTTTTATTGGCAGTAGTTAATAATGTAAACACTGTGTAAGAGTTATCTTCATACCTAGTGTATGTGCATGCAACATGCATAAACGCTAACAACTTAAAATCTTAGAACATAACTTGGTTATAACAAAATAAACCTAATCAGTCTTGAGAATCTCAAATGATAAGTTTTGGCACAGTACTGAATATCTAGTGTAGTTAACTTATTTGCAGTGGCTGAGAACTTCTTTGATATTTACTTTTCATCTTAAGTTTGTTAATTTCAATATCAGTTCAGGGAACAATTTCTTCTTTTTTTTTTTTTTAAATACAGTTCAGTCAAATTTTAGAATAAGAGACAGCATTGAAATAGAATTTCCCAGTTGCATATTTCATATGCATACATATGTATGTTGTCAATGTAAATAGCAGATAAATATTAAATACATATAAGAATATAACAAAACTACTGCCTGAAAAGGATGAAGGGTTTCCCTTCTACAGGTGGTCTTTTTGTGCTTTAATGAAATAGACTGTAATGTATTGAAATCTTCTAAGTTGCGTCCACTGTTGGTCTTCCAAAACGCTATAAGTTGTTGAAACATTAAATATGGTTAGAAAGTTTTAAGAGAAGTGATACTTTTTTTTTTTTTTTTTCCCTCTGAGAAACAAAGGAGCAAAGAGGAGTCCTACTTTGGCAGAATAATTGGAAAGAGAGAGAACAGCAGAGAGAAGTGCTGGTCCATTAATTGTACATTTGTGAGCATTCTATGGTAGTTAACGTGCAGCAGGTTTTTATTTCCATCTTTTGTTAAAAGGTGACCAAAGTTATTTACAAAAATTCATGCAAAGGATAGTTAAGTTTACAAAACAAGTATTAGTTGAAATACTGATAATTGTTTAGGGAAATCTTTAAAAGTAGCAGAAAACTTTTACTCAGCATTGTCATGAATGACAGTAAGTATTTTCAAGAGAAAAATTATTTTAAATGTGGTTAGAGAAAAATCCTAAACATAACAGCTATTACTTCTCATTACTGCATAGGTCCACTTTTAAAGCTAGACACTGATCTTGCCACAGATCTACTCTGCAGGATTAGGAGGAACAGAAAAAGAAAAAAATGATGAATAGCATGCATTTGCAAAATTTAAAGTTCTAGAATTAACATGGAAAGGGTTGGGCTTGCGGCATTTTTTGGTTTATTTCTGCTGGATTTCTGTGATAAAACATTATCAAACCTGGCTAGTATATCTATTGCCCATCCTGTGCTAAAGCTTGGAACCTTTCTTTCCAGTCTTTTTGCCCATTTGCCTTTTAAAATATATTGATTTGATTTGGGTATTTTGAGTTTTATGTTTTCCTTTTTTAAGAGAAAGAGATTGAAAGTAGCAATTTCACTTGGCTTTTTTAAGCAGCAGCTGTTTGATGCTGTAGAAGCTGTGGAAAACTAGATACAGAGAACCTTAGTGGAGGTGAACAAATGGGTGGAATGAGGTGTATAGCAATGTCCTTTACTTGCGTGTCTCCGTTTTCATTAAGCAATTGTCACCACATATGTTGTCTTTATGGCTATGCATACCAATTTCACCTCATTCAAATGAAGTAAAATCAAACACCACAAATTTAAATGTCTTCCTTAAACTCTTCTCAGTTCTGTCACTGCATTACAGTCCCTGGGATGAGGTTTATTTTACTCTTGCTTTTCATTACGATAAGTCTTAATTTTTATTGTACTCTAAAACTAGCATGCAGCTTGCGTTTCCTTGGAGGTCATTGAATCATAAAATGGCTTGGGTTGGAAGGGACCTTTGAAAGACCATCTAGTCCAACACCCCTGCTATGTGCAGGAGTAACTTTCACTAGAACAGGTTGTGCAAAGTCCCATCCAACCTGACTTTGAAATCTTCCAACCATGGGACATCCACAACTTTCCTGGGAAACCTGTTTCAGTGTTTCACCAACCCTCATATTAAAGAGTTTCCTCCTCATGTACAATCTAAATTTACCCTCTTACAGTTTATGCAGCCCAGGATACAATTGGCTTTCTGGACTGTGAGCACACATTGCCAGGTCATGTCAAATTTTTCATCCACCAGTATCCCCAAGTCCTCCTCCACAGGCTGCTCTCAATCCATTCATCCCCCAGTCTGTATTGATACCGGTGATTTCCCCAATCCACATGCAGGACCTTGCACTTGGCCTTGTTAAACTCCATGAGGTTTGCACTAAGCCCACCTCTCAAGCCTGTCAAGGTCCCTCTGATGGCATCCCTTCCCTCCAGCGTTTTGAAGGCACCACACAGATTGGTGCCATCAGTAAACTCGCTGAGGGTGCACTCAATCCCACGGTCCGTGTCACTGGTGAAGATGTTAAATGTTGTCCCAGTGTGGACCCTTGAGTGACACTATTCATTACTGGTTTCCACTTGGACATCGATCCATTGACTACAAGTCTTTGCATGTGGCTATCCAGTCAGTTCCTTGTCCATCTAACAGTCCATCCATCAAACCTGCATCTCTCCAATTTAGCAACAATATTGTACAGGACTTTATCAAAGGCCTTACAAAACTCTAGGTAGATGACATCCATAGCTCTTCCCTTCTCCACTGATGTAGTCATTCTATCATAGAAGGCCACTAGATTAGTCAGACACAATCTGTTTTTGGTGAAGCTGTGTTGGCTGTCTCTAATTACCTCCCTGTCTTCCATATGTTTTGATATATCTCCAGGAAGATCTGTTCCATGACCAGGCACAGAGGTGAAGCTGACTCACCTCTATGAATTTTCTATTAAAACCTTTCTGTTACATTCTTTTCCTCAAAAATCACTCTGTATTCTCCTTGTCCCGTACCACATTCTGTCTTGCTTTTAATATTTTTTTAGAGTTGACACCAGTCTTAGATTTTAAACTCAAAGAAGGGAGTGTGTATACAGAATGATACTTTTTCACTGAACTGTAGCTAATTAAATTATCTTACCCTGACTTAACTGATTACTGTGACATAACACGCTTTTATTTAAATTTAAATTGCATTTATTTTTGTCTTTTTAGAATGGTTAAAGCTGTTCACACTATTGGATTCTCATAGATCACCTTTGTTGTTTTTTCTGTGCCAGAATTCTGCAGTGCAACTGTTAAGAATCTGGTCGTGATATTATAAGGTTACTAGGAATTTATTTTCATATTTAGAAAGATGATGATCACTTCAATTTTTTGTATCTTTGGGTCAACAAGTTTGTTCTGCTTTCTGAAGACCTGTTGGGCATGTCTCTGTGTGTGCTTCATCTTTACATTTAAAGATAAAGAGTTTTTTGTCTAACTGGGACTCCAGGCATTTTGTAAATACTAAATTCCTCAAATAAATAAAATGAATATTTGAACCCATCTGCACATTTTGTGGAAGAAAATACTTTATAGCTAAAGACCAGTGTATATGAAATTGAAACATAGAGATGATAAAAGGGTTTATTCTGTCAGTATTCAATAGAGAGTACTGAGAAGAAAAAGAAAGTAGTTTGGATCAGAGTTGTGTTTTTCTAAACAAACAGATTGAAGGGGTATTTCTGTAATTTTCCTTACCCCTGACATTGGGTTGGAGTCATGTGTACAATTATAAAATGGTAAATGTTGGTCCAAATATATTTTATTACTGTAAAATGAGAGGCAAGATAAAGTTTTTAAAGCAAAAAGTTTTGTTTGAATTGTAAAACAGGAGGTATCAAAATTTATGTTCTAAAAAGGTAGTGAATAAAAAAAAAGGTTACATAACTATATTCTTTGAGAGAAATAAGAAATCCTACCTGAAAACCTTATCAGTTCAAGTAATATGTCATAATTTGTCATTCTTCCAAATTGTATGTATTGAGCAAATCCATTTTCACTTGCAACAAAACAAAAAAAGGGGAAAACTGATTACATGATCCATTCTCATGTCTAATAAAATTGCAATATGCACTTTTTGACAAGCTTATACTTAATGTATACTGATGGAAAACTCTAGTTCTCTGTTCTCAACAGGAATAGTAGGCTTTTCAAGCAAACCTTTTTATTTTCTGACTGTCACACAAAGTAACAATTATAAACTAAATGGAGGTGACAAAAATGAAAAGCCAACTTGCCGATTTTTATGAAGTGTTTGTGTTTCCAGATAGGCAGTCATTGCTCAGTTATTTGATTTCAAAAATTAATCCCAGTAATGCCTTTTGAGTTCCTTAAGTACTGTTCACTCGTTTCTAGGATGAGTTTCACAGAACAAAGTCTAACAGATTTCTACAGCAGATTAGTTTACAGATGAAGCTCAATTCCACTGAGAATGATTCTCTAATGACCCCTTTATACTTCCATTGGGCTGTGTGAATGCTTTAATAGAGAACTGAGTTAAATAAATCTATTGCCTCAACTAGCAGGTTTATGCAATCTTTCTGAAATATTTTAATTATAGCTTCTTCTTTTTTCGCCATAATTAAGAAACCAGATGTCAAGTAAGCCCATAACATGTTGATCATAGCCTATCCATTAGTTTAAAAAAATCCACTTATAATTAGATTTTTTTTCTCTTTCTCCTTTGTTTTACAGAGCAAGAAGAATGTGTTAACTGCACAGATGAATGCAGAGTGCTTGGTCATTCTGACAGGTGTTGGATGCCACAGTTCCCTGCAGCCAGTCAGGCTGAGAATGCAGATTATCGCACAAATCTCTTTGTACCCACAGTTGAAGCTAATGTTGAGACTGAGACATACGAAACTGTGAATCCCACCGGGAAGAAGACTTTTTGTACCTTTGGGAAAGACAAGAGAGAGCACACTATTCTCATTGCCAATGTTAAACCTTACTTAAAAGCCAAACGTGCCCTGAGTCCTCTGCTTCAGGAGGTTCCCTCAGCATCGAGCAGCCCAAACAAGACATGCATTGAGCCTTGCACCTCAACAAAAGGACCACTGGATGGTAGCGAAGCGAAATCAGGAGCCTTGGCTGAACCAAGCAGCCAGTACTTGTCAACTGACAGTCAGTATCTATCACCTAGTAAACAATCAAAAGACACTCCCTTCATTGCATCAGATCAGATGGCTAGGGCCTTTGCAGATGTGCATTCCCGAGTGAGCCGAGACTCGAGTGAGATGGACTCTGTTCTGGAGCAGTTAGATCGTTCAGCCCGGGATCTAGGCAGAGAGTCGGTGGATGCCGAGGAAGTTGTGAGAGAAATAGACAAGCTCTTGCAGGACTGTCGGGGAAGTGACCCTGTGGCCGTCAGAAAGTGAGGGGGAAAATAAGGACAGGCTGGCAGTTGTGTTCCACTTCTGCTGATTAAAAGTAAATCATTAAGTAAATCCCCTGGTTGTAAGAGTTTTACAGGAATGAAGGAAGACCAATGCTGCTTTAAGGCTTTTAGTGAACATCTGAAGTGCCCACAAGTATGTTCTTTTCACTGCTCTTTCTTTTTGACAGGTGATACTGGTTTTATTTTGTCCAAACTTTCATTAGGACAGAGTCAAGTACACTAAGAACAAAATGAAAAAAGGAAAGACGGTGCCATTTTGACAATCTGATAGGAAGGTATGAGAAAGGTGAAATGGAAATACGTCTAATATTTTAAGACTGTCCTCAATAGCTGATGCTGACTTTACTGTTTACGTATAAACCCCAAGAAAAACAGGGTTGAATAATTCTGATCTGTGGTGGATATCCAGCAGTCACCACAGATTTCTACTGAAAGTCCTAAAATGAGTTCTTGTAGTAGTCCAAGTGACACCAACCATTAACATTCTTTTGTGGTAAACATTTATGTACAAAGTTACCTGCCACAAATATGAAAAAACAAAAACAAAAACAAACCAATAAAACAAAAAACCCATCCCAGATCATTATTCAACAAAACATATCCTGATCATTAATAAAACACCTCGTTTCATATTAAGGTAAAATGTAAAATGATAGAGTACATCTTGTCCTGCACAAACATAAGCTAATTCACTTGATAAAAAAGAAAAAAAAAGATTTTAATATCTATTTAGCGTTTTAGTGTCCAACAAAACTATAAATAGTTAGCAGTAAGTTTTAAAAAACTAAAATAAAAATGAAGTTTGAATAAAACCCAACTTGTGTTTAAGGGTAATACACAAAATAAATTAACATTATTAACACTTTTTTATTCATTTGTGGACACTAAAATAGCTCAGGAAAGTGAAAACGTCTTAGACATCCACAAAAATCACATGATCATTTAAATGTGCAAATGTAAGAAGATTCAGTGTGTTTACATCAAATGACATATTTTTATTGATTTATTGCAGATTCAGTGCATATGAGCCAAATTGTTGAGTGTATAAGAGCTATATTGTGTATTTTATTAAATTAATATATAGTTGTGTTGCAAAAATATTTGGGCTTATATTGTAAATGGCAAGTGTTGCCTCGGTAGCTGTCGAACTCTATGAGTTTTGTTTTTTCCTGCTTCCTTTTCCCCATGGATTGTGGGAAACAGCGCCTCAGAGCAAAGTCTCTTGTTTAATGTATGGTCTACGAAGTACTGCAGTACATAATCTGTTCAAAATGTGTTTGAGTGAGCTGATGGAGCTAACTGAACGGCCTACAAATACATCCATCAGTCATTGTTATGTGCAAGTCCTTGTAGAAGCTTCTATTGCAAACCCATGTTTAATAACAAAAATTACACTTGAACCAACATCTGGAACTTCCTTGTTTTGTTTTGTTTTGTTTTTTTCCAAACACATGCAGCCAGCCTGTTTAATGTAGTATATTTGATTGACTTCCTAAGAGATGCCACCATTTCCAAAGTTTTGGTATTAAGGTCATAGAACTGAAAAATATATTAGTGTCAATGTGGCGTGAGCAGGATTTTATCTGATTCTTTAGAATGTGCAATTTCTTACTGCAGTTCTAGATATACATTGCTTATTTTTGGGGGTTAGCTGGGGGAAGGAAAAGAGGGTTTTTTTTTCTTAGTTTTCATTGAATGGTTTTCATTCATCCTGAAAAGTATTTGCAGAATAACTTGGGATATAGTTTCTGCTTTTTATTATTTTTTTCTAAGGGTGTTTTTAGTGCATTTAAAAACTTCAAAATTGCCTTCAGATCAAAGTTAAAAAATAACCCACATTTAAAATGAACTTGCACAGAACAAGAAACAACAGAATATAATGTTTAGCTCAAGATTTGTCCCTTATATACTTCAGATACTCTGTTGGAAATACCACTCTGGTGCATGGTTTTAAAATGTTGTATTTGGTTTATTAAATGTAATTTGTACTTTACAAACATATATAAGATGCTGGCAATCTCAAATCCCACAAAGCCATGGCTTTTATCAGTTCAAGAAAGAAAGCTGACCCAACAGCCTGTTTTGATGTTGGGATTGCTGTTAAATGGTGATTTTAGCTAGTCAGTCCTACAATGAATTGTCTTTGGGAGACAACCATTCTGACACTTCGCTTTTACCTCCTCTTGTTAAAAAAAGGCTACAATTACATGTAAGAAAAAAAAAGGGATCTTGTACATGTTTTATCAAGCTACTCTCCATGTTTTGGACAATTTATGTATCTAAAATGAGTGTTGTCTGTGTTATATATTTTTTTCTTTTTTTGGCCAGGAGATAAGAGATTGGTTTTGCTTGATAGCTTGATAGCTTGAAATTCCATAGTGGAGAGGATTTCTTATTATTTATCAGTCTCTTATACGTATTTCCATGGTGCAAATCACTTCAGTGTCTGTGCACCAAGTCTTTAGTTCTGCTGGTGAAATCCATTATTCAGCAAAATCTAAGCCAGTATGTAAATGCAGTCAAGTGATGACGATTTGTGTATTTTATAAATGGTTTTAACACTGAGTAACCAATTGTAGAATTCATTGTATGTTTCTGAAGACATAAATCTACAATATTCTGAGAAAGGGCTGTGCCAACGTAAGAGGAATTTACCTTAAGGCTCTCTGTCACTAGTGATTTACTAGCTTTAGCTGTTTAACACATTATCTGTATTTAGTAGTGATTATTTATTTACCACTCTAAGGTAATTCAGAATTCATGACTCACAGCTTTATAGAAGAGTTTAGGAAATCTTGCTTTTATTTAATTTGGCTGACAACTGCTTTGTGCTGTAGATCTCTGGCATACTTCTTCCAATAAGAATATCCCAGATTAAGAAATTGTTTTCACAATTTAGAATGGATACATAACAAACCAATAATCTAGCAGAGCTTATGCAATGTGAGTTTTGCTGGTTCAGCCTAAATTAACATGATTGTGTGAAGAGAGGAATACACAAAAGAGAATTAAGAAAGTATTTTTTTTCCATGGTATCTCTACTATCACCACTGGAGAAAGAGGCAGCAATGAAAGATAAAGTTTATGAGTTATTGCTCTCATTCCTTACATACATGTTTTATAAGATTAAAATAAAACATCTGCCACATGATCATAAAGAAAATGGCAGAGTAACTAATAAAATTGGGTTGTACACCGTGAATAGCAAATAAGGTATTCTGTTTTTCTGTTATGAATGACAACCAGCAACTGGAAAACCAGGAGTTCCTTTAACAACTGGCCAACCAAATCAGGACTCAAAATCAGACTTTTTTTTCTGCGAGGTATTTTTTTGTTTGTTTGTTTTTTTTGTTGTTTTGTTTTGTGTTTTGGTTTTGGTTTTTTTCTTGGCATACTTATCAAGAAAGAGATTCTCCTGAAATGTGATTTGCCACTTGAGAATATGTCTCCCAGTTCAAATTACTCCTAGAAGTCAAACATTGCTCGTAGTGGAGCAAGATACATCATTCAAATAAACTTTCAATCTTCTTGCTGTCCAATGGAAGGGAAATTGCTGAGGTCAAGGAGGAGTCTGAAGCCTAGGATAGTATATGACCATTCATTATTGTCTAATTACCTTCTTTTGACATCAGACAGTTATTATTATTATTGTATTAATTTAAATGGGAGTTTTGGCTATCAAGATTTGTTGATTTGAAGTGTAATTGAATGAAACCTGATTCAGGTTTTGCCTTTTATGGCCCAATTGTGATACAGGTTGGCATTCTCATTTATCAGGCCCTGTCTAGCCATATGGCTCAAAGTTGCACCAGTGACAGGTGAATGACACAAAAAACCCCAAACAAAAGCAGCATACATTGTATGGATTATCTCAACCGCTATTGTTTAATGGCTGTGTTTAATGTGACCTATCTGGAAAATGAGGACTACGAATAAAAAGCAATTACTAATAGTGGTGTTGCCTGCTTTTGCATTCATTAACACAGAAGAAATGTGTTAAACGCTGCATACCACAGGGAGCCTGATGGTAATTACTTTGGAAAAGCAACTTGTGGCAATGCGGCTGTTACAGCTAGTTATGAGTTTGCAAAAAAAAAAAAAAAAAATTACAGTTCCTGCTTCGTTTATTAATGTGCAACTGTTTTTTCTCAACAGGAAGGTGGTGAAGTTTTTTCATCAACCTGGGTAGGTTTATCCTTTAAGCAGCTGATGTACTGAATCCCTACAGTCTGTTATTTGTTTGTAGAAACATGGAGCTGAATAAAGGATAGACTGGTTTAGTACACTGGTGTGAGTTCACCAAAAACATTACAAATGAGGGTATATGTTCTCAGAGACTACCAGCCCGGCATGAAAGACCAGAACACTGCTTGAATATAGAGGTGGAGGAAAAAACATGAAGAATATAAAGGGTCAGGTTTTTTGTTTGTGTGTGTGTATTTGCTTAAACATTTCCTTCTTAAGAGCCTGAGTAATAAAGGTAAAAAATTATTTTTTTTTATATTGCTGTGAACAATGTGACTAAATGCTAGGAAAAATACGACTAATTTCTATATCTGGTTGTTTTGTCTGTTTTGATTTTATAATTTAACATCTTTGTTAACCTCTTCTTTTTTTTGTTCTTTTTGAACATCATGATCAATCCATCAGATAATGTGGCCCCTTCTGTCTGTTCTCATATGATTGTAGTAATAACATACCAAATAGTGTAAAGTCTCCACATGAGATTATTTGGGGGTTTTTTGAGGTTTGGTTTGGGATTTTTTTGATTTATGTTTTTTTTTATTGATATTTAAGTAAATAGGCATTGCTTTTCACAGCTAAATAGAATTTTAGTTTGTTCAGGTTACTGCAGAAATAATGAAGATATGTTCTACTTGTGCAGGCAGAATTACCTTTAACCCATTGCATGTTTTGTGCAAATCTCTTTGCCAGAAACAAAATCAGCCTGCATCTAATTAGCTGGCTATCCTCAGCACAAAACCCCACCATGCTTTTCTTCCCTTCCTACATATATTTATTTTTCTACAGGCTGAATTCCAAAATCTAGCAAGCCACTGTCTGTACAGAGTCCTGCCAGAATGTGAAGCTGCTGAAGGCCTCACTGGACACAGGATGCTGCTCTTACTGTCTTCAACCATGTGTAATTCAGAGCTTGGCTGGATCCACAATATATGTAAAATAAGTCATAAACCAACCTGCCTTTTCTTTACTCAGAATACAGAGTCATTGATTTCTCATTTGGAAAATGGCCAGTCTGTCAAACAGAGATTCTTAGATCTCCTTTAAGCCAACCACGTATAACTGCTTCAGAGTGTTCACTCATGGGGTAAATACCCTATCCTTATCCTTTATTGAGTCTAAGACTTGAAAGCATCTGAAAGATTATTTCTTCAGTTAGTAATGTTTTCCCTAAAAATGAAATTTTCCCAGTAGAAAGAAGGGACAGCTATCTGCTGTATGTATAGCTTGATTTGAGAAAGGTCACCTTAGTATCAGTAGTGCACAAAGAAATATATCAGGGAATTAATGAGGCATCTAAGAATTTTCTGAGATACATATTCCATAATGCATATGTTATGACTTGGGGAAGAGAAACAGTATCTTGGTTTATTTATTGCTGGTGCTTCCTGATAATGCCTAGCTCACAAAAGCATTTAGTTCAAGTTTTGGAGAAACATTTTACTCTGATTCGGACACCAATTCCTTTTTAGTGTATATATGTGTGTGTATATATATATATATTTAACCT